CAAGAAAATCTTAAATGTACTGAAATGATAGTAAGTTAAATTGGAGTATTCTCATACTCGATTGTCATAATTTTATAAACAAATTTATATTGAAATGGTTGAGGCTTGTGTTTGAAACTATCATAGGAGAACTGAATATCCACGCACTGTTCCAAGAGAAACTCAAATAACTAAGGATAAAAAAGTTAGGTTTGAAACCCATCTTCATATAGACTTATCCCAATGCAAGGAAATTTCCTATTTTAATAAAGGACTAATGGTTCATTGACTGTTCAACCATTAGCCGAACTAGTAGATTTAACAATAAATTTCAGTTAATGATCATACGATAGGACATTAACACTGTCATTGCCCAGTCCCAAGCCCCAGATGTAAAAAGTGGAGGGTTGCGTTAGGTAGTCGATAACCAACGCATAATTTGTCAAAAAATCATAACATGAATCATTTAAATCCTTGTGTAAATGTTAGGGCATCTCCTAGAAGCGAAGCGCTGTATGACCTGAATACAGTGAAAAGTGTGCAAGGGTTGTTACACCGGCGTCCGAGTGTAGTGTCAAATAAGTAAGGGTCTCACATTACGGACGGATGTGAGTAAAGAATTTTGTCCATGAAACTAATATTAGGATAAGATCTAGAAATATAGGTACTCTCGCAGATAAATTAATGGAATAAATTGATATTATTATTCATAGGAAGTTAAATATATTATGTATTCAAGAAAATAAATGAGTTAAGAAAAGGCTAAGAAGATAGAGAGCTTAGATTTTAATCTTTGGTATTCAGGTAGAAGTCACACTAGAAATGGTGTAGGTATAATTATAATTATAGAAGAGTTTGAAAGATAATGTTGTAAAAATTAATAGAATTGAGAGGTAATAATAACCCTAAAAATTGTTGTTGATATTATGATTTTTAAAAGCAGCTTTAGATATCAGTTCAAAAGAAAAATTCTGGAATAACCTAGAAAAATTAATACAAATGATAACCCTTAAAACAAGAATTTTTAATAGAAGATATTTAAATGGACATGTTGGTAGAGTGGTGGAACATTTTAGAAATATTCATAATGACTACAGTTTTTGAGTGAGTAAAAAAGAAGGCAGAACCATATTTGATTTTTGCTTTAGTGCATGGTTTTCTTACTGTTAATACTTTATTTAAGAGAAGAGATGAACTTATTGTTACTTATAAGAATGGATCTAATAAAACATAATTTGATTATTTTCTTATGAGAAAAAGAGATCGTTGTTGACAGTGTAAAGATTGTAAATTCATTCCAAGCAAAAATTTAAGCACTTGACATAGAACATTAGTTCTGGATTTTAAGATGAAAAGTTATAAAATCAAAAATACAAGAAAATATTGTCATAGAAGCGGATTGGTGCATCTAAAAGACACAAACAAAAATATTTTAATGAGTAATTCAAGATTTCAAGAGTTTATATGTTCATGAAGTAACAAATTCTATGTGAGATAAAGTAACAAGCAATATTAAACAAGTGGCAAAAGATATGGAGAATAAAAAAAAATTAATAAATAAAAATAGGTTGTGGTGTAATAATAATGTGCAAGAAAAGATAAAATATAAGTTGTGCTATAAAAATTAGATATAAAAGCTTAGAAAACGAAAAAAAATATAAGTTGAACCTTAGAGAATCTAAGAGAACAATTCGTGACGCTAAAAATTTTGTTTTTAGTAATCAAAGAGGGTAAAAAATATATGTATAAACTAACCAAACAAATAGGAAAAAAAATAGGGAAAAAAAAAATTTAATTCAAGTAAAATTTATTAAACATGAAAATCAAAAAGTGTTTTTCTTAGAGGAAGATATTTAACATGGGTGGTGAGCTATTTTGATAAACTTTTCAATGAAATTTTTGAAATAAAATTGACCTTATTAATCTTAATATCGTTAATAATAATAAAACAGTTTCATCTTATTGTTGCATTTGTAAAAAAGAAGTTGAGAGTTCTTTAAAAAAACTAATTATTGAAAATCAGTAGGGACATGATGATATCCCAATTGAAGTGTAGAAATATTTAGAAGAATTGGGAGTTTTTTGGCTTACTAAACTCTTTAATATTAGTTTAAGAACCAAAAAGATGTCTGAGGAGTAGAGGAAGAGTATTTTGGTCCCAATTTTTAAGAATAAAGGGGATGCACAAGTCTATGCAAATTATAAAGAATAAAAGTTAATGTGTCATACTTTCAAAATTATGGAAGAGAGTAATTGAATATAGGTTAAGACATGATACAAAGATTTCTAACGATTAGTTTAGATTTATACCTAGCAGGTCCACCATGGAAGCTATACATTTATTTAGAACTTTAATAGAGAAGTACACAGAGAATGAGGAGGATCTACATATAATTTTTATTGATTTAGAAAAAACTTACAATAAGGTTTTAAGAGAAGTCCTTTGGAAAGTTCTAGAGAAGAAATGTGTTGATATGACTTATATTCAAGTCATTAAAAATATGTATGTTAGAGTTGTTACTTGTGTTCAAACAGAATGAGGATTGATCAAGTATTTTCTTATTTTAGTTGAATTACATCAGAGATAGGTTTTAAGCCCATAGCTTTTTCCCTTAGTTATGACTAAGAGAACAATTACATAGGTTTTAAGTTGAATTACATAGGTTTTAAGTTGAACCTTACAGAATCTAAGAGAACAATTCGTGACGCTAAAAATTTTGTTTTTAGTGATCAAAGAGGGTAAAAAATATATGTATAAACAAACCAAACAAATAGGAAAAAAAAAATTAATTAAAGTAAAACTTATTAAACATGAAAATCAAAAAGTGTTTTTCTTAGAGAAAGATATTTAACATGGATGGTGAGCTATTTTGATAAACTTTTCAATGAAATTTTTGAAATAAAATTGATCTTATTAATAAAAAGTTAAGTGTTGTTGACATGAGAACGCTTAGGTGCATGAGTGGCTTGACAGTTAGAGATAAAATACGAAACGAATATATACGTTATAGGGTTGGTGTAACTCCAGTGACAGACAAGATTAGAGAGAGTCGTCTTAGATGAATTAGTCACATTAAACGTTGACCATCTGATGATCCTATTAAGAGAGTAGATGTTTTAGATTTGACTTATATTAAGAAAGGCAGAGAATGACCTAAAAGAACTTGGGCATATTGTATAAAAAATGATCTTAATCTATTAGAGTTAAATGAAAATATGACACTCAATAGGGCGCATTGGAGATATGGATTCATGTAGTCGATCCCACTTAGTGGGATAAAGGCTTATTGTTGTTGTTGTTGTTATTGTTGTTGTTGTTGTTGTTCATAGGATAGGACATTTACAACCTTAGCATACCAAAACACTAACAAATAGTAATTCCTTCCATCACCGCCAAATGTTTGGAGATTGAAAACATTGGGACACTAAAACACTTAAGGACTAAGCTAACATAAGCTAGCACAACTAACTTTGCTTCCGGGCAACTGTCTCCTGTTGAACTTTTTCCAGATGCCTTAATCCAAATAGGATATGTCTAGACATGAGTTTCAAAGTTCCAAAACAAATCAATGAAAATTATGTGTGAAATCAGGCACAATGTAACATTACTCGCATAGAGAAATAAAAAAAAGCGGCTTATGAGTAACCGGATCATATATGACCATTATGATAACAGCAATCTCAAGTAGTTCTGATTGGTTAAATAAGTGGGGAATGAAGTAACAAATTAATGAATCAAAAGCATGAGGCTAAAGCAAAATGGAGTAGTTATACTAAGAGAACAATTACATAGGTTTTAAGTTGAATTACATAGGTTTTAAGTTGAACCTTACAGAATCTAAGAGAACAATTCGTGACGCTAAAAATTTTGTTTTTAGTGATCAAAGAGGGTAAAAAATATATGTATAAACAAACCAAACAAATAGGAAAAAAAAAATTAATTAAAGTAAAACTTATTAAACATGAAAATCAAAAAGTGTTTTTCTTAGAGAAAGATATTTAACATGGATGGTGAGCTATTTTGATAAACTTTTCAATGAAATTTTTGAAATAAAATTGATCTTATTAATAAAAAGTTAAGTGTTGTTGACATGAGAACGCTTAGGTGCATGAGTGGCTTGACAGTTAGAGATAAAAAACGAAACGAATATATACGTTATAGGGTTGGTGTAACTCCAGTGACAGACAAGATTAGAGAGAGTCGTCTTAGATGAATTAGTCACATTAAACGTTGACCATCTGATGATCCTATTAAGAGAGTAGATGTTTTAGATTTGACTTATGTTAAGAAAGGCAGAGGATGACCTAAAAGAACATGGGCATATTGTATAAAAAATGATCTTAAAATGACCTAAAAGAACTTGGGCATATTGTATAAAAAATGGTCTTAATCTATTAGAGCTAAATGAAAATATGACATAATATGACGCAATGGATAAAAAGTATTCATGCTGCGATATGGATTCATGTAGTCGATCCCACTTAGTGGGATAAAGGCTTATTGTTGTTGTTGTTGTTATTGTTGTTGTTGTTGTTGTTCATAGGATAGGACATTTACAACCTTAGCATACCAAAACACTAACAAATAGTAATTCCTTCCATCACCGCCAAATGTTTGGAGATTGAAAACATTGGGACACTAAAACTCTTAAGGACTAAGCTAACATAAGATAGCACAACTAACTTTGCTTCCGGGCAGCTGTCTCCTGTTGAACTTTTTCCAGATGCCTTAATCCAAATAGGATATGTCTAGACATGAGTTTCAAAGTTCCAAAACAAATCAATGAAAATTATGTGTGAAATCAGGCACAATGTAACATTACTCGCATAGAGAAATAAAAAAAAGCGGCTTATGAGTAACCGGATCATATATGACCATTATGATAACAGCAATCTCAAGTAGTTCTGATTGGTTAAATAAGTGGGGAATGAAGTAACAAATTAATGAATCAAAAGCATGAGGCTAAAGCAAAATGGAGTAGTTATTGACAAAGTCAACTTTTCTCCGTATCAAGTCAGACCTGAACTTGTCCAGCAAGAACAACTGCAACTCCAAGTATAGAATCATCTTGCATAATATCATCAAGCCCCACTTCACCCCATTTAAATTCTACATTTGGAGAGAAGTCACGGGCAAGCTCTGCTGCAGCTTTTGCAGAATTCTGCATGTATGCCATGAAATTTGAGAGGCTAAAACAAAATATTCGAGTTCAAGTTAGGATGATCAATAATGTCATGATAACATGATACAAAAAGTTTGAAAAATGGCAAAAATTGCACCATTTCAGTTTGAATTGTTAAATTATATCTCAGATAAGATCTGTAATTAATATTATTATGATAACATGGGGGTCTGTGCATACTATTGTCCATGTATTGGATTAAATTAAGTGAATAGCAAAGCAATGGTACAATTCATACAAACATAATAATAAAGGAAGTGAATTTGTTTTATCTAGTTCAGTGTATTCTTTTTTTTGGGGAAATTGAACTACATACCATATAAGTGATAGATAAATTTCCCAAAGATTTTATTTAAGATAGAATGAGCATAAGGTTAGTTAGTATTTTTTTTTTTTTTTTTCATGCAAACCACCTTAGCCTGTCGGCTGAGCTTCCGATTTCAACCAAGGAATGTCCCAAAAAAATATTTTGTCCGGGCACAAGAGAAATTACAAATTCAAATTCACAAGGAGAGCAAGAGAATTTCTTTATGTCGCATCCACAAGATCTCAAACACTGCCCTAAAAATCATGGCGAATACCAATTAGAGCCAGGTCCATTTGGTACATCAATATATGAATGTAAGAACACACATTATGCAAAGAAATAATACTAATATAACGCATACCTCAGTACGACTCCAGATTGTTTTCACAACCACCAAATCAGCCAACTCCCTCAGTCTAGGAATGTACTGTGTGCGAACAAAGATGCCAGATCCAAGTATTGCGATCTTAGGAGTTGCAACTTCTGCGGCAGTCATCTTCATATACAAAGAATGACATCAGAGAAGAAAAGCGAAGCTTTCTAATTAAAAAAGACGAAGAAGTTAATGATGTGGAAAAAAAAAAATTTTGCCAGTAAGAGTTGTGAAATTGCATGGAACCACAACAAAATTAGTTGCTCGCGATATACATCGGCACTTGCAATTATGGAGAAAAAAGGGCAAAACAGCATTTGCACCAGAAGAGGACGACAAATTCTATGATTGGAAATGAATAGAAAGAAAACGACTTCGGGAAGACCGAACTAAACCTCCGAAGGATGTATGAAAACCAAAGTTCTACTTTCTCACTCGATCCGGTTTGGAGATTCATACGCATAGAACACGAAAAAATATCACCCACGATATGCGTGACAGGAAAAAAAAAAAAAAAAAAGACACCGCACATAAATATTTATTGTGTTATTTATGTATTATTGTGTTATTATAATATTAAAAATATTTTCAGGACACAATAACACATGAATAATATCAGGAATATTCCCGATAGAGGAAAAAACGGCGCAGTAATACGGGAGAATATTTTACCCCGTGTTATTCATGTGTTATTGTGTGTTATTCATGTGTTATTGATGTGTTGTTGTGTTATTATAACACCAGGAATATTCTCATGACACAATAACACATGAATAACACACGATAACACATGAATAACACAGGGGGAATATTCTCTGTATTACTACGCCATTTTTTTTCTCTGTCGCGCAGGATGTCGTGTCGTGATTTCATTGGTTGCGCACGTTACTCTACGTGCGTACCACTGATGTAATATTTTTTAACTAGAATTAATTGTATGTGCGTCAAGTACATTAGATAGATTAAAAAAATTAAATAACAAAAAATAGAGATGCAACATAAAAAAATATATGATCAAGTGAAAATATAATAAAAAATATTGAAGATTGTTAAAAAAAAAAAAAGTTGCTAAAAGACTACCTTTAATAAAATTTGGAAATATTCAAATTATATCATTTTTTTAAATATTTATGATTTTATGTTTGAAATAAATAATTAATTTATCATGATGATAGGATAATATGTAGTCAAATAATGTTGCATAAGTATAATAAATAATTTTTAATAAATTTGAATGATATTTTAAAACAAAATAACCTCATACTTAATATATTTTAAAATCATTGTAAATAAATAATAAATCATATTTTTAAGAGAAATTACGCCAAGGATGACACGTGCTCACCAAAACATACATAGAATAATAAATGATTTACTGAAAAAATTAAAATAGATTATAGAAATAAGAAATACTAATTATAATGAACTATTCTGAAATAATTAAATTGTTTCATAAGTATTATATTTTCTCCAATATCTAATTTAATCTATCTCCATTTTAATTTTTTTATATTAAATGTGAGATTCTGGTCATGTGTTCCTATCTTGGGCTTCAATTGTGAAAGTCTTAATAAAACTAATGCAATTTGTTAGCAATTTTTGGTATTCATGTGTATCTTATGTCCGCAAGATAAAATTAATAAAATAAGATCGTATACATTTATGTATATTTCATTAAATTTTAAACAAATTAAATTATTATCGTTATTTTATGTAATTTTCTATATGATATGTCCTTTTTCAGTCTCGTCGTCAATAAAACATCGTACTTGATGTTGTATCTTCAATTTATATTTAATAAGATGCTTATTGAATATATAAACATGTATGTATATGCATGTTTATATATATATATATATATATATATAACAACCAAAAAAATAACAAACAATACCATAATCATCTTGCATCCAGAGAAAAAGGCCCAGCAAGTGGCATCAAAAGACCAGGGTCCACAGCAAAGCGTGAGCCTCTTATAATTCTTAGACTGAAAAAAAAGTACAACTAAAAAACAGTATGACATCACAATAGCGCAGTAGAAATGAGAAATTTAAAAACCATGCAAGTAAAGCAATCTTTCTAAAACCAAACATGCTTCCAAGAAAGCCTTCACCAAGGGGAAAAACTCCTTTAAGTTGTAGACATAGAGAGTAAATAGGATAACAACCCAAGAAAAACAAACAAAGTAAACGAGATTCAGATTATCCAAGGTTAGAGGAATAGTAAAATTTATCTAGAAGCGACAAGAACCTCCCCTAGGCAGGTGTATGAGACAAATATAATCCCCAATGCAGCAGGACAAAGCCCACAGTACAATTTCCACACAACAATTATGCAAAGAGAGTAAGCAGGCAAGTGAGTAAAATAGTAGAAAACCTGGAAAACCTGTGTGTAACGATATGCTTAAAAAAGGACAACTTTTTTACAAACATTTAATACTAAATTTTAGTGATATTGCACTTTAAAGGAAGATATTTTGTAAATTTTTAACTTCATGTACAAGAAATGGACTTTTGGGGAAAAGGAAGTGAAAACGGTGCAATTTGGAGCCAAAACAAACAAGAAAGAAAATTCTGACTTAGCACATTTCGATATGTCTTTGTACAATTATTCTCTTTTACATTTATTACATGTTTCTGAATGAAATAATACTTTTAAGAAAGTTTTTTTCATACTTATCTTGTAGGTATAACTATTAGGAGCGAAACAGAACTAAAACAAGGCGAAACATCGCTAAACGGAGTGAAACGGTGGAGAGAATAGCTCAAGCATAGAAACATTTAAATCCTTCCAAAGTACAAACTTCCACGAGTTCCGGATAACATTGAAGGCTAGATGAGCAACAAAATAGCCCACAAAATAGAGGCTAAAACAATACCAACATGCAGCATAGCAAAAGGAGAAAAAACCCCTTAAACAATTGTGAAAGAATCGAGTAACCAAAAAGAGGTAAGCCCTTTCCAAAAGGTAATTGAAAAAAGCAGCGAGCCACCACAGAAAAGACTCAAGCCCATCTAAACAAATGATATGTGAAGTATGAAGAAATCCTCAGGTAACAACCAAAAAAATAACAAACAATACCATAATCATCTTGCATCCAGAGAAAAAGGCCCAGCAAGTGGCATCAAAAGACCAGGGTCCACAGCAAAGCGTGAGCCTCTTATAATTCTTAGACTGAAAAAAAAAGTACAACTAAAAATCAGTATGACATCACAATAGCACAGTAGAAATGAGAAATTTAAAAACCATGCAAGTAAAGCAATCCTTCTAAAACCAAACATGCTTCCAAGCTGCTGCAGGGTGGCGCCAATGGAGCCAGAATCCAGAGAGACGTCACCAACGACGCTCGAAAATGGCGCCAGAAAAGGTTATTTCTCTAAATGCATTGAATTTGGACCAATTTTGAAGGGGTGTCAAGGGTCGCGTTCGTGTTCAGCTCGTTTAAAATTATGTGTGTTTGAAATAGACTCGTGTTTGAAATTGTTCGTGAAGTTAATGTTTGTGTTCAGTTTGATTTGTTTGAAATATGTTTGAAATGTTTGAAATATTTGAATTGTTCGAATTATTCGAATTGTTGGAATTATTCGAAATCATACAAATTTGTTTGTTTTGTTCGAATTGTTCAAGTTGTTCTAAATCTTTCAAAAGCTTAAACCTATATGAAATTAATGTTTAAACAAGTATTAATCACATCACAAACGCAAAATAGTTTAATCATAGCTCACAATAAAACCATATATCATATCTCATTCGTAAGAAATTCAGATCTAGAGACAATATGCGAGATTTCATTCCCAAAAACTAGGTTTTACTGGAAGAAACTAAATAAATCTAAAAGAAATATAAAAAAAGTTAAGCTAAGAGACAAATCTGAAGATAAATATGAAATTATAGAATTTAACATAAGCTAAGAGGCGAACTTGAAAATCAGATTATAAATTTTAAATTTTAATTTTTTAAATTCTGATAAATATTTAGAGTATATAATTATTTTTAAAATATATTAAATTATATATGATCGAACAAATGGTTGTTCGTGTTTGGTTCATCTATAAACCGAACGAAAAAAAATTATTCATGTTCGTCTCGTTTTATTATCGATTGAATCGAACATGAACTCCTCGACGAGCCGAACTTAAAATGTTCGCGAACAACGAGCTTTTTTTAACAGCTAGGGAAACTCTTGGAAATTCGTCCCTACATTATAAATTAGTGATTTTATGACAGAAAAATTATGTGTGTGTGTGTGTGTGATGTGTGTGTGTGTGTGTGTGTGTTTATGTGTGTGTGTGTGTGTGTGTGTTGAGAAAATGGAGGAATGATTAGAAATCTTAGAATAGGAGTAGAAATTCTAGCAAATCAACCTAGTACTAGAGTGTAAAAATATCTCATATTCAACTTGAAAATCCTGATTTTCTATTTACTTCAAAAGTTATTGAAACTTGTCAAACTAAAGATTCACAGAAAGTTTAAAATAGAATTTACACATCTTATCTATACCAATTTGACCAAAACTTTTTTGAAATAAGAATAAGCTTAGGATTGTTTCTAAGTCTTTTCTCTTAAAAAAATTCAAGTGAAACCAATTTTTTATTAGGCTTCTCCTCAAGCTTCTCCTCACATATATTCTTTTTACTTTTCTTTTTCTTTTTCTCCCTTTTTTTTCTTTTTTTTTTCTTTAAGGATCTTTTTATTCCGTATAATCCGTACTCTTTTATTTTCTTTTTATGTGAGAATTACTATATCTGGATAGGTCTTTAATAATTTTGAATTTCATTATTCTCTATGTAAAGTCCCAAACTCAAAGCTTTCCCTCACTTTTAAAAGTGTAAGTATTAGTTTGAAAAAGGTTTCAATAAAGGCTCAATTCTCAATAATTATAAATCTAAGAATCTTAGATTTACAAATATTTAACTCCTTTCTACCATAAATAGCAAAATCATTTTCCTAATGTTTCCTACATAATATCTTAAATCTAGGACAGTTTCTTCACATAGGATTTCAACTAAGTTATTTTTCTAACATTCCTAAAATTAAAGTTATAATAAACTAAAGATAACACCACATACCACAAATCATTTTAAAAGAAATATTAAATTAAATACAAACTACTTAGGACAAATAAAGTTAAGTTTTAAAAATTTTTCTTCACCCCAAACTTGAATTTTTAAATATTTTGCCATTAATTTCATAAAATGTAGCAGAAAGAAAAAGTAAAAGTTGAATCAACTTGCTACTATAGCATCCTATCAAATTCATATACATGCATAATCAAAATAAAATGACTGCAATAGAAAGTAAATCTAGCTTAAAACGTGCTTGCAATAATATTAAATTAAAAGGAAGTATACTAACTTTAAAATTTATTTTTCTTCCTACCCCCAAGCTT